TGATAGGAACGGGCCTGGATGAGAAGGCGAGAAAAGAGCTACTGAGCAAGCTGGTAGAGCTGAGGAATTCACGATCGAAGACTAGAGAAGAAAAATGTGAGGACAGCTCTACTCGGAGACAAAAACTGTAGATAAAATGGTTGATGATATAAAAAGGGATAAGGTTGGGACTAGTAAGATGATTAAAAGTACTAATATCCTTAAGGCTCGAGCAGGGGGGAGGCAAGAGTTGGAAGGAGTGGATGGAGAGGTCGAATCAGTGATGGTAGCCACAACACCCTCAAGTAGAGATGTGAAGACTCGCAAGAGGAAGAGAGAAGTGGAAGGATTGGGTAGTCCTTCAGTGGATGCTGTTTCGGAAGGAAACTTGAGAGAGTCGGCGTCCATGGTTTTGGCTCGATGCAAGACGGCGGCATACAAGAGCAGCTCGGAGCTCAGAAGACCACTCGAAGTAGAGAGGGAAATAGAGGTTTCCACCAGTTCGACATCGGAGGAAGACTTCAAGCCTCAGAAGATAAACGTGAAGAGAGGTTCAACGAACGGACAGACATGGGAAGTAGATGTCGGCAAAGAATGGATCTCGAAGGCACACCAGGCCACGGGCAAGCGAGTGACAAGTGATCCATTGGAAAGGAACAAGACGAGGAACACCTCCCGGACGTGGTGGGTGGCCCTTGAAACATTGAAGGAAATGGAGGACTGCTGGAAGAAGTTGGACGGTGGAGTAGCTCGCAAGCGACGCAATTGGGCCACCCAGCAAAAGGCCGAGGTTAATAGAATAGAAATGGCAAATCATCTGAAGAGGTCCTGGCAGAGTTTGTTGAAGGATCATTTTGAAGAAGCAATGAGGACACCCTCATCAGCACCACCATTAATGGCGAATCCCTTCGTTAGAAATGCAGGACAATTAATGTTCACCTGGAGTCTGGTGGGGATAGAGTTGGAAACACTGACCTCGTATGACAGGCTGAAGTTGGGAAGCAAGAAGCTAGATGTGTATCAGGCACTGATGCAACACGTAGCCAGGGACAACTCAGGCTTGAGCCTGGCCAGAAGAAAGGATGCCACGTGTTTCTTGAGATGGATAATGTCGATGATGTCTGATAGCACCATCCTGGCATGCCAACAGAGAGCAAGCGTAAGCAAAACCATGGAAAAAAGAGTCTCAACGGTCATCTTGAACGTGTATCAGAGCACAGGAATAGAAAAGGAAGAGGGTTCCAGACTATCCCTAGAGAACCATAGGAAGATAGACGAGGTACGGAGGTTTTATAATAAGAAGTTCGAAGAAGAACATGATGTTCACCGTAACCTGGCCTCGTCAGAGCAGTACTCGAGGCTCAGCGAGAAGGGGGGATACCAATATGTGTCTGGAGTGATGGGAATGGCCTACAACCCCTTCTTAGACTCGGAAGCTGGAGGCGCCCACAGGAACCATGAGGTAGCGGAGCTACTGAAGTTTTGGACAGAAAGAATAATGGAAATAGACGCGGTGGAAAAAGAGGGGCCGAGCCTGGGCCTGATTCTTGAGAAAACACCAGAGGTGGTGAGCATACCGCGTTCAAACAAGAGAGTTGAAGTGAACATGAGCGATGGAAATGGCTTGTTAACCACGAACTTGGGAGTGGTATGGAAGCTATTAAGACCCTCCTGGTGTCCACATCCCCACGCGAGTCTGATCGAGGAAACCACCGAGCGAGTGAGGTTAGCACCAACGGAAGATGAAGATCTGGCAAAGTTGAGTGTGCTGCATAAGCTAATTTCACCTCAGATGCAAGAGCCAAGCGAAAAGACTAGTAATCCCGGGTCAGCAAAGAAATTGGAGCCGGGTAGCTGTCTGGATTCGACGTGTGGAAACGGAGAGCACACCTGCGATGGACGGTCATGCGTTAGAATACTGTCATTTCAAAAAGAAGACCTGGTCACTTGGTTCGAAGACATAACAGAAAGGGAGAAAAGTGAAGTGCAAATAGTAGCGGAGTGTTACGCGAGAACCACGGTGAATATAGCGACAGCTCTCGGATTCTTCTCGAGAATGTGTAGTCTGCAGTCACTGGAAAGACTAGAATCTGAACATCATTTAGTGACGGCGTTGAGCGTAGAATCATGGCCCGGGGTGTTGCAGGTGACTCAAAAACACATCCGGAGCTGGAAGGTTGGTCTCGAGGCGGAAATGGGATTTCCCATGAGCGAAGCTTATGGCTTGCCATTGAACGCGAAATCGCTGATAGGGTCAATGATGGCCAACTTGTGCGGAAGTCACTACCCACTGCACATGGTGATGGTGGAAGCATCCAGCCAGAGAGTACTGGTGGACAAGGCCTTCTCAGTGCCCAAGTGCGTGAGGTTGGCTCGGATATCGCATCACTCGCACAAGTTGTTGAGAAAAATCAGAGGGACAGTACCAAAAGAATTGAGAGACGACTTGAGTGAAATCTGGGGAGAAGGACTTTTGAAGTTGGAGAGAGAGAACACAAGCGATCACGAGAGACAAAACGTGATCGGAAAACCTGTGGGAAGTGCTCCAAACCTGGAAGATAACGACACGATGCATGAGAAAATGATGGAGCTGGAGCCTCTCTTGGAAGCCTCGGGGGAGCGTAACCTCAGGAGCATTGAAATCACCCATGGAGAATGCCCATGCCACTGTTTAGCGCAAACGGTGTGGTATCCAGATCACAAGAACCTTTGCCTGGTGTGGGATATGGAAGAAATCCGGTCGATCGGACTACCGGATCACCGACAGAAGGTGACGATCTTGGTAGTGAGTACGATCTTGGCTCTGAGATGGATAGAAGAGAATATAACGAAGTATCGGGAAGCGGGGACGCCAACGGCAGAGTCAATATACGCGATAGACTACAGTAGGAGACTCGAGTTGTTTGAGACTGCGTGCAAGGTATTCGCCATACCAACGGAAGTCAGACATGTCTGGAGCCGTTTGAGGTACTTCCCATGGTTTCGGGCGACGCTGACGTCCTGGTTGTACATGACAACGAAAGATCACATGAGAAAACATCGAAAGGAGTATCGACAGTTCCAGGCCGAGATTGGGCCGGAAGCTTTCAAGAGACCCCTGTTAACCCATCGTAATGCAATCACGACAGGATGGAAGAGAGTGGGTAAAATGTCTAGAGACAATACCAAGGCGAGGGAATCGATACTAGAGGAGGACCTGGCGAAGAACGTGAGCTTGAGCCTGCACAACTCCTTTTGTTTGAACCGGGAATCTAGGGTGAAGGCACTACCCAACCAAGCAAAGAGGTTGCAAGAGCAAAGAGAATGGATGCGATCCTACGAGCAGCTGAAGGCTTGGGAGGAGATTGTGATTAGCTCCGATGATGAAGAGGAACTGTTGAGACAGTTTGCCGTATCTAGTACTTCAGGGTGCAGTACCTCCAAGGCGAAGAGTGCGAGATGAGCAGGTGGCTCGAATGGATCTTGAGTCTTGAGAGGGAAAGGGGGGCTTGAGCGTGGATCCGGGTGAAACTTGGATTCACGAAAAAGAAGTTTTAAAAAAGCAAATATTGTTATTAATATACTATATTTATTATATAAATCAAAATGCTGCATGACAATTTCCTGATTGAATAGGACAAAAGAAATTTTAAATGATTGGCTTGGAAAGCAAGAATTCAAGGGTGCAGGTGTGTGCAGATTTTGATTGCTGTTTAGCGATAGTGTGAAAATTTTACATGGCTGTGAATTTTGGGGTGTAGATAAGCTTAAGTCTGCTGCAAACTTCTGTAAATGACCACTGGCACTGTATCTTGAGTAACACTCGGTTTTCTGGGACTCACTGGCAGAAGACAGCACGCGATGAGGACATCGATCTCGAGTCCGGGGAGTATGTGCCAGTCGGTCATATTCGGAAGTTTGACCTTGAGAGAAGCAAAAAACACTTGATTTTGGAGTGAAATTTAATTTTTCAAAATTTCGAATGGAACCTGTCATGCACGATTTTCTCGCGATAACTGAAAATCAGAAAAGAGAAGTCAGAACAATCGAGTAACAATCGCGGGAAAGTTGCTAAATAAAACGGTGGGAAATTGCTATTCGCAATTTCTGTCACAATAGAACAAGAGTAGAGCTGTCCCATCTGAAACAGAGACAAGCGTATTCCCGAGAACTGGATTGTCATTACTCGATTGGATTATTATTTGAACTGGACTAGAGTGAACCTTCGGTGGAAAGGTGGACAGCTTGAGCGTCCCAATGGTTCACGAGAAACTATATCCTAGAGTTAAAACTTGTCCTTGTCATTGAAACTGATTAACATTAAAACTCATTTAGTTACATTATTTAATTCTCGAGTTGATTACCGACTGAAGTACTTCCCTTTCTTGAGCGTGCTACGATGTGAGTACCTAATTTAAATTTCTAGAGTGTGTTTTATAATTGTTATGTTGAGGTAAGGCGAGTTTTAGGTTGATCCATCTGAAATGGATCAAAGTTCCACTGTCTAATAAAAAGTAACTTAACGGATTGTTCCAACCCGGTTTTTAACGGCGTTCATGTATTTTGGGTATCTAGAGACCTAAGTATGGGGACGTTTCTAATTCTAGAGTGGGGGGATATTTTAGTAGTAGCCTTTAAGCTGTAACGGGTCGTAGTCTCATGTCACAAACGAACCGAACTGGCTCCGACCGTTCTTGAGGTAGAAAAACACAAGAGATGGTGTCCCTGACCCTTGAGCCAGTGGTTATAGGGCCTATTTTTCTTAAGCCTCATGTGTGACTGCAGTAGACGAATGTTACAATCGTCAAAGAAAATTGGAAACTCCTTTCTAATCATATTGCTGCGGCTGCCAAAACAGGAAACTTATCACTGAGTTACTTGTGAAATTGGCGTTTACTACTACTGTTCTAATTTTCCAGAGTTGGCATGCTAGTTTCCAATCCAGGGAAAATTTTATCGGCAATATTTTGTGCTTTGTTTTCAAGTCGGAAGAGGAATCGTACTCCAGACGGTTGTAAGATGTGTTTCTCTTTTTCAGATGGTTTATGTATTTACCGTTTTGAAATTGGCTCATAGGCTGCTTGTCTGAATTTAGGCTGCTTGTTCGACTTCGAGGTCGATTTTTTTTCTAGTTCTTTTGATATGAATCGATTAAGAAAAGAAATAGTGATTGAGAAATTGAAGAGGCTTCATCAAATAATATCATGCATGAAGTGTGGAGATTGGCACAGTGAAAATTTCTCAAATACTTCTTGTCGGCATTTGCTGTGTGGAAGATGTTTGAGCTTCTCGCAATCTAACCAAGGAGTTCGGTGCGATGTGCTTCTGCCGGGTGAATCAAAAGCGTGTATTGAGTATTTTACAAAAGAAAATGTTGTACCTGAGCCTAAGTTTAATCAGTATTACAAAGGAGCAATTGAAATGCTAGATTTTTATGATTTGACCATAAACGACTTAAATATTCAAGATGCTGAAAAAGTGAAACTGACGAACAACGGAGACGGCAACGAGGTTAGCGAGACATCAAAGTCATTCAATATTAACAGCAATACAGAGGATAGTAGTGATTCGGATTCTGAAAATAATCATACAAGCGAGATAATCAGAGAAAAAGAGATAGCTTCTAAACATAATATGAGCGTTTTTGAAATAGCAGACTCACAGCCTCCTAATGCAATGCAACCTGCTTGCTCCAAATCTCTCCGGTTCGAAAGCAAATGCGAATCACAGAAGACTAAAAAGCAGAAAAAAACTGTGGCCACAGGATTCAATTTTTTTGGAGCTAAACCGGAAAGCTCAAAACCAGTGAAGCGAAAGTCTATCAAATATGTGAGGTAAAAAATTTCAAATCAACTATTAAATGTTTATGGTAAGCGCCCTAGAACTGGGAAAACTGGCCCATCTGAACTTTGTGTTTAGTAAGCTCAGTACTTTTGAGGTGGAAGACGATCAAACTCACCCAGAAAAAGAAAACAACTCGACTGAAAAAGATGCGTTTTTACCCTCAAAGGCAACACTGAGCAAGCGGTCACTATTTGATGTGTCGTCTACTACGAACACAGATTTTGAAAACACAGTTAACGCCGAAGTTAGTTATGTTTTGTCAATCATCAGTATAGAAAAACAATAGAAAAAGATTTTAAAAAAGTGTTTCCTCCATCGAATCACTTTGTTTATTCACAGGATAAGGCAGTAGCCTCGGAGAGCGTGATCAGAAAATTAAAAAAGAGGGACTGCAAGGGCGAGACAGAATTGCATCGGGAGAGCAAGAGAGGAAATCTGGAGAAAGTGTTGCAGCTGCTAGAACTAGGAGCAGACCCAAACACAGAGGACAATGCAAGCCTTAGACCCTTGCACGAACACAAAGCATTGGAGGTTGGCAATACTCTGATTTGGCCAGTGATTGGCATATATTGTGAACATTTTTTGATTTTTGGTTTTTAGACTCGATGTCCGACCAACTATAATTTCTGAAGCATTAAAAATCAAGATTTGAAAACAACATGATGATATAATGAAACATTAAGTCAGAATGGTAGAATATGAATAATATTTTTATGTTTGACTCAATTTTGAGTGGATCAACTAGAAAAAAGATTGCAAAAAATTAAGGTAAGTACTATTAGATTATTACATAATATTGGACTATAGTAAGTAATTAGTTTTAAAGTAAAATTCAAATCAGAAATGCCAAGTTGCATGCAGTGACTTCCCTTAACTGTTCTGCTTATTCAGCAAAGTTTTGTTTCATGTATTCGATGATTCTTGGCTCTCTGAAGTGGAAAGATTTTCGGGTGCGAATTCCCGTTTAAGGTAGCTAACAGCTGGGCAACTTATATTTTCTGACTTAGCTAAAGAAAGAAATTCTGTCTCCGATCAAGAACAGAACACGATATCAACAAAATCAAATAAATACTTTAACTAAATTTTATTTATCAATGACGTTCCAATAATCGAGAGGATAAACAAAGGGAGGTGTAAGCTCCCACTGCGAGCCTACCCTTTTCTAGCTACATTTAACAAAACACTGAATCCTTTTTTTTTAAATTTAGTTTTTGAATCTATTTCAGAAGAAAATTATTTCAGAAAGACAAGAATTTCAGCCGGTAAACTTATATGTTCTGAGTTTGATGCTGCGTTAGTTGATGACTTCATTATTTAGAACTCGGAGGTGTGTCGTGCATTGCTGGAATATGGAGCGGACCCTAGGAAACACGGAGGGGAACAGAAAATAACGCCACTGCATGTAGCTGTGCAGCATAATTACACGAATGTGATCCCCCTGCTGATACAGTGTGGATCGGACATACATGCAACTGCAAAGGTAAGACGATGTAACGAGTTATTGAGAAAAATAATCTAAAATTTATGCTATAACCTGTGAGACCATGAGGGCTGAAAAATATCAGACAGCATATCTGGGTATAGTTTTGGGTGGTACTAGGCATTTTCGTTTGAAAGAAAAGCATCTTAAAATGAGCATTTAAATCTTGATATGTTCGTTCTTTTTTTTGCACCGATATAAGTACAAAGACAACTCGCTTATGTGTAGAAGCGCTATCGATGTCGAAAAAGAAGACCTGTCTGTCTGTTTAAAAGTCCAAAAATTTGCATGGACGAGGCATATTTTTCAGGGAACTTGCATCTAAATACGTATCTATATGAAATACGAAATCTTAAAATTCAGTTTAAAACACTTCAGGGAAACAACGAAGAAGCATTCACACCGCTATCATTTGCCAGCTTCCACAAAAATGCTGAAGTTGTTAAGCTACTCGAAAGCGAGTATCAGAAAGTCCAAAATGAAAAACCATTGGACGGGGCAGTACTAAAAGATTACGTAACAACACCACTCAAGAAACCGAAGTATAATTTAGCAGAAATCGAAGCTGTTAAATGTGCGACTCCGATAGGGAAAATAGTAAAAGATGGAATCACTCACGTGTCAACTTCAGCATTGAGCGTGAAATCGAAGTCTTTGTGTGAAACATTTTCAAAGAAGTTCAAAATAAAGATTAACCCTAATTATGATGACTCTTGTGATGCGCTGATAGTTTCTAAGAAGAGCGAACCAAACATGTATTCAAGGACAATTAAGGTAGTAACCGCCTTGATGAGAAACGGAGTGTTGGTTGACGATTCGTGGATCCAAGATAGTCTGGACAATGGAAAATTGCTCTCGTATGAGAAGTATCTAGTGGACTCTTTCTGTGAACATAAGGTGAACTCTACTGCAAGGATTTTTTTCTCTTTCCATTTGTTTCATCTTTATTTCAGGTCAAAATTGAGGAAGAATGTAAGCACGATAAATTGATACTCCGACTTAGTAAAGAAAATGCGCATATGTTTTTAGCAGCGTGCGCATCTTTGTGATGATTTTTAGCAAAAAGTTAATCATTTCAAGGTGTTGTGTCAAAATCACATGATTTAGATACAAATAACACGGGATTTTTACCCTTGTTATTTGCAAGGGTTTTACACCCGGGTACTAGAATTTTTTTGTAAAATCTTTGTTTACCTGTTTTTTCTGCTGGACTCCTCACTTTACTTTAGCAGTGTATCTAGTCGAAACTATTCATCTTGCCCGAAAAATGAAAAAGTAAATGTAATAAAAAGAGTGATTTAAAAGTTATTAGACTTGGGAGCAAGCGGAAATTTACATTAAGATCTTTAACGTTTTGTAGAGTCAATGAACGTAGTGAAGACTAACATTACAGGAAAGTCCTAAGTTTACTTACTCTACAATTTGATTTTTCGCGTTTTGACTTTCGATTTCTTTTTAAAATCAGCTCATTTCATTTGTTAAAAGAAGGTAATTTCCACTGTCGAACAGCAAAAGTGTAAAGGTCCAGAACAACATGATCGACTTTTAGTTTTAGATTTCTCGGGAATACAAAATTAATCCATCGATCCAGTTTTCTCATGAACTGTTGAATTTCAAAAAGATGGGCATAATATTTTTGAAATTCGAAAGTTGAAATTTAAAAAAATCTATTTTCTGTTCCCTTGCGTTCATTGACTTTATTCCAACTGTCGGTTGGCAATGTTTTTTTCCTTGAACATTTTTTTACGACGTCAAGAGTTCAATGATTGGATCCCGTAATCGTCGTAGTTTAATAACCTAAATTGTTTTGATTGTCTTTTCACATGCTAGTCTTTACAATTGCAGGCTGAAATGCTCGATTTCTTAAAAATATCTACATATCTATCGATCTAGCTTGTATTAAGTAATAGAAAATTATTTCAATTAATATTATTATTGAAAAAAAATATTGAAATTTTTTCGTAAGAGTGGTTTTCGTCATCATTTTTGTCGGCTCATTTTCCAAAGCAGCCTTTTCTTTCTGGTTGAAGCAAATGTAACTAAAACTGAATCTCTTTCTGTAATGTGTAATTTTGCCAGATTGTTTTTTTTTAGTTTCCTTTTTGTGCTAAAATGTTATATCGACTCAGTCACCTCATTTTGCGTCGTTTGAAAGACGAAAATATGTTGTTCTGCCATTTGTGACTGGAGTAATGGGGAGTAATTAGAATTTGGGAATCTCAAAGCCAAGGAGTTCGACACCGACTGTTTTTTTTACTAACTGAAAATTTTCGGCTAATTAAAGCAATTGTCGGTCTGCTTATTTTCTTATTTGAGGGGACAAGTGATTAGGTTGCATGATTTTTTTTGCATTTTTTTGTTTAATTTGTTCGGCTTACAGGTTTTTCATTTTATACTTGGTAAACTTTGTTTTTTATGCGCCTGACTCTTTAGGGGGTAATTTGTTATTTTTGAAAAGTTTTAACGCTTTTCTTCTATGAAAACTTGTTTTGGCTCGCCCAAAATGTTCGGCTCACTCCAAAATGTTCGGCTTTTTAACGCTTCGTAAATTATAATTCGATGCCGATTTGATTTTGAATTTTCTGATTCAAGACAATTTCATACAAAGGTATGAAATTTCTGGTAGATCTAGCTTGTCTCGACTTTTAAATATTTTTTCGACTAAGCGCCGTACGTTGCATTTTATGTCTGCTATTTTGTCAAGCTATGGAAGTTTGTATCGCAAGTGAAGCGAATATTTGCGTTGCCTGTGATAATTTCTGAGAATTCCAGCTGAATAAAAAAGTAATCGATTAATCAAGTTTTTGAAAATTTCTTTAGTTTTAACATGCATGCGATCAGCTAGCGCTATCAAATCGGAATATAGACATTTTTCAAATGAAAAACTTGTCTAGCAAAAATACTGAATCTTTTTCTCATCTGAGTTACATTCCAATTTTCCAAGACAATAGTTTCTTAAACCAACGTACATTTTGAGCATGTCGGTTTCAATACTCGTTCTATTAACGCTAGCGAGAAGTTAATGTTGTACTACGAACCTTCTTTTTTCTAACCTAGCTCGCAAATAAAAGTGTTCATTAAAAGTGTTCACTTCTGTGCTTTTTTGCTATAATCACGTCTGTTGCATTCGAAATTTCTTAGTAGTAGTAGTAGTAGTAGTAGTAGTAGTAGTAGTAGTAGTAGTAGTAGTAGTAGTAGTAGTAGTAGAAGTAGTAGTAGTAGTAGGTCAGTCTTTAGAGCGAGTCTTCAGTCTTCTTAGCATCTGTTCTCGGATTTATTTGTGGGCAGTATTTGTGATGGACTAAGCGTCAGTGGTTAGTGCGTCAGACTCATAATTTCTAGGTCGTCGGAGATTTCTAGGTCGTAGGATTGCTTTTTTTGAGAACTATAGAGCTGTTTTTTGTCGTGTTCTAGCCAGTGTTTGCGAAGCGGAGCTTTGCCTCTGCGCTGAAATTTGTTCTCTAATTTTGTAAACTTAGCAACTTCGGTTGGCATAGTTCTCTTTTTTGTTTACTCAGATGAAAGGTTCGGTTTGTTATATTGGCTGAGTGACCGCGTAGTTGCGGGGGCTATCAAAACAATTTTTAAAAACTCAAACCGGTAGTTTAAGTTGAGTCGGCTTTTTTCATCGCTTTCTGATATCTCAAGTTAGCCTTTATTTTTATGAATTGGCTTAATTTTCTTTTGAATGAATTATTTTTTAAGACAAGACATATTATCGACATTTTTCTCATTTTTTCGAAATAGTGGTTTTCGTCTCATTTTCTGTTGGTGACTTTGATTTATTATGTTTTTAAGCGTAATGAACGTAGTGAAGACTCTTATAAAGGTCTTGCTGATTTTTTTTTTCGTTTTTTTTTCACGAAAAAGTCAATTATTTACAGATGTGCATTCATGCATTTATGAATGCAGTCAGGCAAGTATGCATTTTCGGTGTTCAATTGAAACTAATGTCCTGAAAGTGACGTAAATAGCACTCTCCTAATACGAACGTGGAAATGGCGCGAAAAAACCTGAACTATTTCTACTTTCGAAAGTGGAATTTAATTTTTAGATTTCCCGCGGAATAAAAACTTTACCTATTGATCCAGTTTTCTCTAGTTGGGTTCATCTTATAAAAAAAGCGCCAGTCATAAATTGATATAGAAATTCAAAGAGCTTAAAAGGGTATCTATTTTTTTGACACTCGAAAGTTGAGATTTTTTCAATGAAATTCAGTGTATTTTTTATGTTTACTTGCGTTAATTATTCTTTTCCAGTCCTCGATTGGCTATGTTTTTTGAATCGCAAGTGGTACGAAGCTCCACTTACCTTTGTCAAAACTGTTAATTATATAAAAATTATGCAGTTCAGAGACCTTGATTGTGATATCAAGTAATCATTTTTTTGTTTTCTATGAGTTTATTGACACCAACTGCCAATTATATAATCTATCTATCTATCTATACTATACTATATTTAAATGCTAGTGACAGCTATCTCCCATGTTTAAGTATAATAATTTTGCGAACGATTTTTTTCAAAGAATTTTTTCATCTTTAAGCTATATCATATATTGCAATACTTAAGAAAATTTTTCAATTAGTTTTCCGCAAGGTCATTAATTTTTCAGTTATTTTTTCGAGGCCAAATTAAGTCTGTCTGTCTGTCTCTATACCTGCTTTTTTAATTAATTTGATTATGTCTGTCTACTCTTCTCCTAATTTTTTAACTTTCATCTATCAAATCTTTCATCTATTATATATTTAAATGCGGGCTTCACTTATCTCGCCATGCTTAAGCTTTTTCAACATATTTTTTACGTGTTTAACAAAAGAATTGTTTCACGTTTAAGCTGTATCGTATTGATAAGGTTTTTTTTCAATTTTCCCGTTTAAATTCAGTGTTTATTCCATCTAGTTTGTAATTAACAACCCAATAGTTGGATGTTGTCAGAGTTTTCCCAGGTTTTGCGATTCTGACCACTATATATGAATAACCAAATCCTTGTATTTTTCGAGATATGACGTTTTTTTATGATTTTTTCAAAAAAATTTCCAATTTAAAAAATTCCAATACGTTGAAGATCTCAATCCTGTTGTTGGATTTTGTGAGGGTACTCTCTACTTTCGAAAGTGGAATTTAATTTTTAGATTTCCCGCGGAAAAAAAACTTTACGTATTGATCCAGTTTTCTCTAGTTGGGTTCATCTTATCAAAAAAGCGCCAGTCATAAATTGATATAGAAATTCAAAGAGCTTAAAAGGGTATCTATTTTTTTGAAACTCGAAAGTTGAGATTTTTTCAATGAAATTCAGTGTATTTTTTATGTTTACTTGCGTTAATTATTCTTTTCCAGTCCTCGATTGGCTATGTTTGTTGAATCGCAAGTGGTACGAAGCTCCACTTACTTTTGTCAAAAGTGTTAATTATATAAAAATTATGCAGTTCAGAGACCTTGATTGTGATATCAAGTAATCATTTTTTTGTTTTCTATGAGTTTATTGACACCAACTGCCAATTATACAATCTATCTATCTATCTATACTATACTATATTTAAATGCTAGTGACAGCTATCTCCCATGTTTAAGTATAATAATTTTGCGAAAGATTTTTTTCAAAGAATTTTTTCATCTTTAAGCTATATCATATATTGCAATACTTAAGAAAATTTTTCAATTAGTTTTCCGCAGGGTCATTAATTTTTCATTTATTTTTTCGAGGCCAAATTAAGTCTGTCTGTCTGTCTCTATACCTGCTTTTTTAATTAATTTGATTATGTCTGTGTACTCTTCTCCTAATTTTTTAACTTTCATCTATCAAAACTTTTATCTATTATATATTCAAATGCGGGCTTCACTTATCTCGCCATGCTTACGCTTTTTCAACATATTTTTTACGTGTTTAACAAAAGAATTGTTTCACGTTTAAGCTGTATCGTATTGATAAGGTTTTTTTTTCGATTTTCCCGTTTAAATTCAGTGTTTATTCCATCAAGTTTGTAATTAGCAACCCAATAGTTGGATGTTGTCAGAGTTTTCCCAGATTTTGCGATTCTGACCTCTATATATGAATAACCAAATCCTTGTATTTTTCGAGATATGACGTTTTTTTCTGGTTTTTTCAAAAAATTTCCAAAAACTTAGATTTAAAAAAATTCCAATACGTTGAAGATCTCAATCCTGTTGTTGGATTTTGTGAGGGTACTCTCTACTTTCGAAAGTGGAATTTATTTTTTAGATTTCCTGCGGAATAAAAATTTTACCTATTGATCCAGTTTTCTCTAGTTGGGTTCATCTTATCAAAAAAGCGCCAGTTATAAATTGATAAAGAAATTCAAAGAGCTTAAAAGGGTATCTATTTTTTTGAAACTCGAAATTTGAGATTTTTTCAATGAAATTCAGTGTATTTTTTATGTTTACTTGCGTTAATTATTCTTTTCCAGTCCTCGATTGGCTATGTTTGTTGAATCGCAAGTGGTACGAAGCTCCACTTACATTTGTCAAAACTGTTAATTATATAAAAATTATGCAGTTCAGAGACCTTGATTGTGATATCAAGTAATCATTTTTTTGTTTTCTATGAGTTTATTGACACCAACTGCCAATTATATAATCTATCTATCTATCTATACTATACTATATTTAAATGCTAGTGACAGCTATCTCCCATGTTTTAGTATAATAATTTTGCGAACGATTTTTTCAAAGAATTTTTTCATCTTTAAGCTATATCATATATTGCAATACTTAAGAAAATTTTTCAATTAGTTTTCCGCAAGGTCATTAATTTTTCATTTATTTTTTCGAGGCCAAATTAAGTCTGTCTGTCTGTCTCTATATCTGCTTTTTTAATTAATTTGATTATGTCTGTCTACTCTTCTCCTAATTTTTTAACTTTCATCTATCAAATCTTTTATCTGTTAAATATTCAAATGCGGGCTTCACTTATCTCGCCATGCTTACGCTTTTTCAACATATTTTTTTTACGTGTTTAACAAAAGAATTGTTTCACATTTAAGCTGTATCGTATTGATAAGGTTTTTTTTCGATTTTCCCGTTTAAATTCAGTGTTTATTCCATCAAGTTTGTAATTAGCAACCCAATAGTTGGATGTTGTCAGAGTTTTCCCAGGTTTTGCGATTCTGACCTCTATATATGAATAACCAAATCCTTGTATTTTTCGAGATATGACGTTTTTTTCTGGTTTTTTTCAAAAAATTTCCAAAAACTTAGATTTAAAAAAATTCCAATACGTTGAAGATCTCAATCCTATTTTTGGGTTTTGTGAGGGTACTCTCAGGGGCTGCGAATCTTGCCTGTAATTATGGCTGCTCAAATCCTTGTAGTTTTCGAGATATGACGTTTTTTTTTATGATTTTTTCAAAATATTTCCAAAAACTTAGATTTAAAAAAATTCCAATACGTTGAAGATCTCACTCCTATTTTTGGGTTTTATGAGGGTACTCTCAGGGGCTGCGAATCTTGCCTGTAATTATGGCTGCTCAAATCCTTGTAGTTTTCGAGATATGACGTTTTTTTGGATTTTGAAAAAAAAATTCAGAGAACTTAGATATAAAAAATTTCACAAAGTTTGATATTCCCATCTCTGTGGTGAGGCTCTGTCAGGGCGTCTCAGGAGGTTCGAATTTTGCCTCCCAATAGGACTGCTCAAATCCTTGCAGTTTTAGAGATATGATGATTTTTATGATTTTCTCCGAAGTTTTCAAAAAAAATTAGACGTTGAAAAATTCCAAAACTTTGAATCTCTCAATCGTGTTATTGGAATTCGTCAGGGTACTCTCAGGAGGTTGCAAATCTTGCCCCTGAATATGTCTGCTCAAAATCTTGTAGTTTTCGAGAAATGACGTTTTTTAAAGAATTTTCTCAAAATTTTTCAGAACTTAGACATAAAATTTTTTATAAAACTTGAAATTACCATCTGTGTAGTGAGGCTCTGTCGGAGTTATCTCAGGAGTTGTGAATTTTTCCTCCAAATATGACTGCTCAAAACCTTGCAGTTTTCCAGATTTGACGTTTTTTAGTGATTTTTTCAAAAAAAGTTTTATGAAAATTAATTTTTTTTCAAAGTTTGAAATTCCCAACCCTGTAGTTGTGTGCTGTCAGAGATTGCGAATATTGCCATCAAAAAGACTGCTCAAATCTTGGTAAGAGTAAGAGCACTCTCAGGTTTCAAATCTTGCGTCCAAATGCGACTGCTCAATTGATTTTAGTTTCACAGATGTGACGTTTTTTAGTTCATTTGAAATTTTTTGAAGAACTTATATAAAATTTCACAAAATTTTTGGTTCGTCAAAATTGCATAAAAAACTTGATTAAAAAACTTATAAAATTTGTAATTACGAACCCTGTAATTTGGTGCTGTCAAAGCACTCAAAGAATGCAGATCTTTTTTCCAATATATGCGGTTTATCATGAGTACCGAAGGTGCGTTACACGCTAGTAATCATGAAATTCAAAGACCTTAAATGTGATTTGAGGCCATCATTTTTATTTTTGCTTTCCATGAATTTATTGACACTTTTCCAACAGTATATGAGATCAAAAATAAGTTTTATCCCAAGTATTGTCGGCTTATTTGCCGCGCATTATTGCAGCATGTTTGTATTTTAAATATCAGATCAGTTCGAATTGTTTTTTGTTTGTAATTTTAAAATTCCGGTACGATATAATGTCATTTTTTTCCCGTATTGTTTGCCATTTTTTGGTTTTGTTGTTTAAGAGTCATGAACATAGTGGTGAATAGGTCGTGGGGATTTTTTGTTCGTTTTTATTTTCAGGAAAAAGTCTTAAAATTTGTTCACGCTCAAGCTTGATTTTTCGCGATTTGACTTTTATTTTTATGTTCTTTTCGTTTCCTTTGTTGAAAGGAAGGCAAACTCCACTTTCGAACAGCAAAAATGTAAAGGTCACGTAAAACGGATCTATAATTTTCCCCAGCGCAATATAAAATTTCCTATTGATCTAGTTTTCTTAAAATGGGTTTAAAAGTGTCGATCAAAAATTGTTTTTGAAATTCAAAGAGCTTGAAGACCATTTTTTTCTGTGAAAATTGAAAAAGTGACTAAATAATTGTTTTAATGTTTTTCAATAAAACAATTTTATTGTTTCAAGTGTTCTCGGCTTTGTTATTGCAGGTTCGGAAGTTTTGTTTCGATGCTAATTCAATACTGACATTTGTCTCACTTAGTATGCTTTTCTTAAAACGAGCACCTTTATCTCATTTTCTGACCACTAGTTTGTAATTCTTTTTTTTTGTTTTGCGGAATGTATACTGTTATTATTTAGTTCATTTCCAACGAAGGCGCTCACTCGTAGGTTGAGTATCACTTTATGCAGTTGTTTGTTTCAGGGCAGTGTAAAACGGGCTAGACAAGCTCACGACCAGTCAAAGAAGCTGTTTTCGGGGCTAGAAGTATTCGTTAGGTCGAATCTGGATACCGAGTATTTAATGGCAGCGTCTCAGCTTAAAGAAGTACTTGCTTTGGGAGGAGCCAAAGTTCTTCCTCGAGAACCAAAACCCGCTTCTTTGATCGACTCTAACATGACGATTGGTGATGATTCGAGACCCGAATTTATTGCAGAAAAATCATCGATAAGTGACATGCGGATTATAGTTGTAGCTGGAACTATTATCGACGGAGATGAAAATATAAAGTTTAAGCAGATTATACCAGGATTGTACCACGTGACTGCAAATTGGGTTTTGGGATGCATTGTCACTTTTGCCATCGAATAGGCAGTTAAAAATAATCTTATGAGAAATTATTTTAAAACTCAACGTTCGAGCAAAAAACTTGATGAAACTAATCTAAACTCTTGCGTTTTCTTACTTTGTTGAATCCTTGTTTACGTTTTATTTTTGTGAACTGATGTAAAACTATTGAAATTGAGTGCTTTGCTGCATCGTATGACCATGGTCTATTAATTGTGTTTTTGAGTTTCCCGTCACAGGGAATTTATCGAAAAGTATTGGTTTTGTTTGTTTTTCTTAAATTGGTTTTTAACTGCATCTTTTGAGGTACTTTTTTTATACCGCATAGAATTAAAATTTAGCTACCAGTCGAAAAATGGACCGCGACGTAAGATACTACATCAATAAGTTGATCTCACATTTTAACAAATGTAGGCAGTTGCTGTCAAAATAGAACGGAATGTTCCAAGCGCAGCTAAGTTGAAAATAAGGAAAAAAATTGTAACATTTCATTTTTCAAATTTGGATTTCATTTAATTGATAGAGGAGTATTCAAAATAGTTAGATAGAAAAAAGTGGGAGTGTTTAAAAAGCCGGTAAAAGTTTTCAACATTGAGATAATTTTAATTGAATAGGTAAAAATGCAGCAGAAGCAAAAAAAAATTGCAGCAGGCTTGATTGTCTGCTGCATGATCACTGCTAACCCCCTATGAAAAGGTCAATTTTTGTTTTAACGAGTTGCCTGTCTATTTCGGGTCTGAAAATGCAATGCAGTTTTTCGAACCATGAAATCGTAAGTAACAATTGAGTTTAGAATTGTTTTCACTGAATAATTCACTTTTCTCGATTACACAGTTTCGGTTTGAAAGAATAATGGTTATACTTTGTGTTAATTTGAGAAAAAGTTCAACTCCGTTGAAAACCTAATGCAGAAGCAAAAATTGACATTTTCTAACCCAGAATAAACTGTTTAGTCCTTTAGAGCTAAATTTCATAGAGTGACGCTCTGATCATTTGCTACTGATCCTCGTGAATTTTTTAAAATTTGAAGTAAATGTCCAACTTGGAAACCTTGATGTCCCAGATCAACATGGGGATTAAAAAGCTGAAATTGTAAGTCGAGATGAGTTTTTTTTGGTTTTTAACAGGAAGCAGTCTAAAATCTTCAAGCTGTAACTTAATTATCGAAGCTTGATTCTGAATTTATTGTTAAAAGGGAGGCAAATCCACTATCGAACAACAAAAGTTTAAACATCACGAAAAAGGTTAACGACTTCTAGTTTTGAACGTAAATTTTTAAGCGGATCAAAACATTACCTTTCGAAACAGTTTTCTCAAATTGTAAATATTCATACAAATGTCGATGAACGTACAGGAGACTCTTATAACTGTTTTGGTGATTTTTGTTTGGTGATTCATGAAAATCTTAAAACGCTCTAAAAACCACAGAAGTGCATTCACCGGTTAAAGCATTTATGAAAGCACTTGTGTAAATACGCACTTTGATTCCAATTCTTGTGTGATAAAAACGTACAATGAAATTGTATGGGATCTGGTTAATTTATTTTTAGACTCTTCTAAAAAACTACTCTCTCCTGTTTGTCTGCGTAATACTTTCTACAGCCTTCAAAAAATTCTGAGAGGGAGAATTTTTAACCGCTATTTTTAGTTTTTTTCTTTTCTCGAAAACTGCGGAACCAAATCTGGAATTTATGCTCAATGTAAAGAACGGGTCTGGAGAAGCTTTTCTACTTAAGCAAGCGCATCTAAAAGTTTTTTTGACCGATTTTTGAAACTTTGGTTTTTCTCAAAAACTAGCCTCCCAATTTTGAGATGTGCTTGCAACCGAATTAACCGAAAGTTTTCCCGCATAAATGGCTACTGGCTATTTTTTTTGGAGTACAATTAGGACCCTCGGTAAAGTCCAAATTTTGGTTTTTGACTGTTTTTTAAAATTTTCCTTTTCTCAAAAACTAATCCTCTTAATTCTAAGATGTTGATTTCCATCAAAAGGATTGGTTGTGAGAAGCTCCCATGCCTTAGCAGGTACGCCCAAATCTTTTTATGCCAAACTTTATGACCCTCCGAAAAGCCGAAACATCGGTTTTTGCCCGTGTTCCAAACTAAGGCATTTCTCGAAAACTTTACTCCCAAATCAAATTTTGTTTTAAATGAAAACGACGAGATGTGGGAACCTCTCCTGCAATAGTGGCCTAGTCCAAAATTTTCAACAAAATCAGGTTTCTTGAAAAAGAAAATTTTTCAAAAACTATCGTCCCAGATCTGAGATTTTGAATTCAATCAAAAAATAGTTTGCGTAAAACGCCAATGCATAAACGGCTACGCCCAAAGTTTTCCACAAAAAAGAGCCTTCGAGAAGTCGAATTCTGATTTTTTGATTAACCGTTTTTTTTTTTCAAATTTCTTGACTTGTCAATATGTCAATATGCCACTAGTACTATGAGGGCACCTTGTGAGACACCGCTGCCCCCCATAAATCTACTTCTGGATTGCATTATGTTACATCTTTTTTAAGTCGACCAGCCTTCAATTTTTCTAACGCCGGCTTCGGCTTCAAGTCAAAAATTGAGAGGAACAAAGGTCAAAGTTTTCCAAAAGACCCCAAATCTACCTTTGGCAAGTTTTTGGCAAAAACTGACTGCGGCGCAAAAATTTTAAATCAAAAATGGGGTCATTCATTGTTTTGAAAAAGCTCAGCCTCAGTTGTGGTCATGTTTTAAAAAATTTCCGAGAAAAACTTAAAATTATCCATGATTGAAGCTACAATGGCTATTTTTTCTTATTTAAGTGAAAACTCATAAAAATCTTACAGAAAATCTGTTTTTTTTAAACAAATCAAGTCGACTTTCAGCTAAGTTGTAAGTTTTTCAAACTTTCTTGTGAACGACGCGTTTTGCAGATGTACCAATCTCGGTTCATCAATATTTAATTTGATATGTCTTCGAACTTGAAGCTAACTGTCACATGGAACACAGCGGAAACTAGGAAACTCCAATCAATCTTTTTTCATTTGAAAAGACAGAAAAACTGATTATTTTAACAAGATCTAACGCATGTGAATAAAAAAATCTTCAGTTCCGCTGACAAGCTTTTCATTAACAGACCTGGTAAGACAAGGATAATTTGACCTAAGTCAAGGCTAACTCGCTCAACATTTCATACGCACCTCAAATATGTTTCTGATAATTAAGAAATAATCGACTAAGAGGAAAGGATTTGACTAACAATCAAGGTAAGACAGAGCTGCTACAGTCTTAGTTACTAATTTACAGTCTTGCATTTGCAGGTTTTTCTGTATTTTTTATGAGAGCTTACGTGCAAAAATTACTCCAACCATAAGGTGTGTACTTTATCAAATAAAACAAAATAACAAATTGATAAATTTAGTTATTTTTCTAGTGTCTTACAATTTTCCCTAAAGTGACACTGAATCGTGAAATAGGCCAGTTTTTTTTTTGGTCGTCCAAAATTTTTTTGGACGATTCGAATCTGATTTAGGTCAAATCCATACAATTTTGGCCAAATTCAAATTAGTCAAATTTACAAAACAGAGCTAGCGGAGTTTGTGTATTTTACGAGACGACGCATAAGATTTTCATATTGATTATCGTTTCACATGCGGTTAAATTTTGACAAACACAATTGAGGAAAAAAAGTTAGGATTTTTTCCAGCGTTTTCTTGGTGCAAAATATTTTACAGTTTCAAACTGAAATTGCACTCTTAAAATTTCATTTCATTTAAAGCAAAATTATGGCGACAAACGGGCTCGATTGTAGTTATTCTTGCATCATTAGTTATTCTTAGTACCCTTATTTTGAACCAAACGAGATTATCCGTTTTCAGAAAGTCATTTTGGTTTGAGCTACTTCAAAATGAATTGGACCAAGAAACGCTAGTAAAAATGAAAACCTTTTTTGTTCTCACTGTCCAAATGAGAGACATAAATTCAAAGCCGTAATTTAGTTACATTACATCAATGCTAAAGAAGCTTGTTCAACTCAAGTTGCAGGTGAAAAATGATTAAGCCGCGAAAACAACGTGAACAAGAAACAATCAAAATTATTCAAACTTATCATCAGAAATCGACAAATTTTTGCTACCTACTCCAAAAAAAAATCTTTTTAAAAACCAAAAAATTTTTTGATATGAGAGAAAATTCATAATTAACGTTTTTTAAAACCACCGTTTTATCAACTGGAATTGATGTTTTATCTATTCGAAATGATTTTATAGATCCGATTTTCTACGAAAAGCGAAATATTCTTAATAACGCTGTTTATATTTAGTCAATTTTTCATGATCAGTAAAACAGTATTTAACAATTTGCTTAAAACCGTACTAAAGATATTGACAACTTGAGCTTGAATGTAAAATGATTTTATAAAATTCTGGGCTTGAAAATTAAGTTCCCAATTAGGCCACGCTCGGTCTAACTTATGCTCGCTGTAAATTTTTTTTTACTAATGCTGAAAGCATAACGCAAATTTTTTACGAGTGGCAAATTATCCAACACCCAACAAAATTGTTTCAAAATGAAATGAGGCAAGGTAATCGGTCGTTTTTCTCGCACGACTGAAGTTTTTAGATTTGATGCTTAACATCCTTCAAAGTTTTTGGTTATTCAATATTTTCTCTAGTAAAACATTTTCGACCTATTTGATGCCGAATTGTACAGGGTTTTGCGCTGATATACTTGCAGGTCTCATTCTATTAGTTATCAACCACTCTTAGGAGTGATTGTAATATGTAATTTAAATGTATCTCAAAAAATTGTTCACGTCTTTTGTTCTATTATAGCTTTTTCCAAAATATGTTTAGATTAAGTGCCTTCCTGGTACGAGTTTTTGGCAAGGCTCGTATTGTAAAGCAAACTAATAAAAATCAAAAGTTGTTTTTTTTTGGACATTTTTGCTTCTTGAACTTAACCAAAATATCTAAATTTGCGAGTCAATAAAAGAAGAAAAACATTCATTTTGAACACCAACTGCTTGTGGTTGCAAAAATATGTTAATACGCTCAAGTAAGATTTGTAAATTAAAGTTTTATAAAATCAAGTATCATTTTAGAGAGTAAAAGTGACTTGATTGATAAATTGTATCCTCATGCGGTATAATCAGTCAAAAATTCACTTGCTGAATAAAGTAAGGATTGTCATAATTAAGGGTTGTCAATAAAGTAAGGGTTTTTGCTTGCTGATTAATGTAAGGGTTATCATTGAATTGTGAAAAAAACACCAGAAGGCCCTAGTTGAAAAACAATGTATCTAGTTTGGAGAAAATCGTTTTAAGTCTTATTAAATTTGAG